ACTTAATATTAAAAGTTTCTGAATATGAGAGTAGTAATGAACCAATTCACACCAGTGCAAAAGTTCAAAATAAGTTATATTATTCTTCACACTACTGTTCAGTGTTCAGTCTCTGCAAGGAAGATTCATTCAATTAAAACAGCACAATGGCTCATTCTTGTTCCTTTATTATACATCGAAATAAAAAGATAATTCAGAAAACAGTGAGTTGACTCAGTTGACAGATGTTAAATGTACTGAAGCTCTGAACTCAAAGAGTTATCATCCGACCAGTAATTTTACCATATTGGTATGTGATCATACAAAGTGCGAAAATATCTTAAAAAGATTATCAACTTAATTATCCACAGATAAAATTACTTTGAATTTTTAAGTCAGGCTTAAGATTGAACATTTTTTTTTAATTTTAAAGATAAAATTGACAGATTGCAGAATACTAGTGATTTATTAATTCAAATGCCCTTGGCGTAATTTGTGATATGTAGGATCTACGACTAGGATATTTTAATGGTGTTGCATTGCACTGGATGGAAGGTTATAATGTAATTCCGACGCATAGCCTTTTTAATATATTTATGCAAGGCCAACGTAAAAGGGTTTGCTTTTTTGTTGTTTTTATTCTTGTTAAGCACGAAACTACACAGTGGACTATCTGTGCTCTATCCACCGCAAGTATCAAAACCCGCTTTTTAGCGTTATAAGCCCTCAGACTTACCGATGAGACACCGGGTTGGAGCAACATCAAAGGGAATTTTGGAAAACATGACCGTATTGGGTAGGAAACCGGTTTTGAATCAAAAAGCCAGTATATTCTTTTACCACCACACTTAAAATTGTAAGTGCTATTTTAACTATAAATGGGCCTAAGCTAAGCATTCGGGCTTTTAAATTATAACTGATTTAATCTCACGCTTGACATGGTACCATTAAATACTATGTGAGGGCCTTGGCCTAATGTGAATACCTTTGAATTATGAAATGATCAGAATTCATAACAAAAAAAATGAAGGATACTTCAATGGCAGGTTTTTTCTATTTGAAGACAATAAAAATATCATCTACCTATCTTTTATAATAAATAGGTTTGGATATTTTCGAGCACTCATTTATCCAACGTTTTTCGTAACTAATGACATAGGAACAGATTAGCTAATACTGGTTTTAATATCAACTCCTATCTGATCATTCATCTTTTGATTAAACATAAAATGTGACTGTTTTATAGCTAAGTACAAAAACTTTCTAATTACTTTTTTAGAAAATCGATTTTGGTTTTCCTGATTATAAAGCAGGTTAAGAACTAAAACAAGTTTAGTTCTAAGGTTTGTTTGTGAATAATGATTTAATCTCTGAGCTAGTACAGTACAAACTATTTTAAAAATTTAAATTTCGTACTTTATTCACAAATTGAAAACTGACTGAAATAGTAAATTCATTAGTACCTACTGACGTAATATATTTTAAAAGAATACTTTCCGATGCATTATTATAAGTACCATCATTATTATACGTATCATCATTATTATAAGTACCGTCATTATTATAAGTATCATCGTTATTATAAGTACCATCATTATTATAAGTACCATCATTATTATACGTATCATCATTATTATAAGTATCATCATTATAATAAGTACCGTGATTATTATAAGTATCATCATTATTATAAGTACCGTCATTATTATAAGTACCGTCATTATTATAAGTATCATCATTAGTATAAGTATCATCATTATTATAAGTACCGTCATTATTATAAGTATCGTCATTATTATAAGTACCGTCATTATTATAAGTATCATCATTATTATAAGTACCGTCATTATTATAAGTATCATCATTATTATAAGTACCATCATTATTATAAGTATCATCATTATT